TAAGACAACAGAAAGCGAAATCATGGATTACTAATCTGGTAGATGAAAATGGAGAAATCCAGGGGGAGGAGACTGTAAAAAGGGACATTGCTCAAAGATTTTATGAAAATTTATATAAGAGTAATGAGGGAAGAAGTGTGGAACAGATAACAGAATATTTGGTAAAGGCAGAGCTGCCAAAAATACTGGAGGAAATAAAATCTATGTTAAATGAGGAAATAAGCATGTCTGAATTAATTAGGGCTATAAATAGACAAAAAATTAATAAGGCGACAAGTCGAGATGGAATACCTGTTGAATTATATAAAAACTTGCAGAGTATTTTTAATCAATATCTATTAGAGGTCTTTAATGCAGTACTTACCGAAGCCAAAATACCTCAGTCCTGGTTAGAGGCAAATATAACACTGATTCTAAAAGCAGATACGGAAAAAATATGGATACAAAATTATAGACCCATATCTTTATTGAATTCGGATTACAAAATTTTTGCTTCAATAATGGCGGAGAGATTTAAAAAATATTTAATAGATTTTATACACCTGGATCAAAATGGTTTCTTACCAAATAGACAGATTAAACAGAATATGAGAACAATCTTAGATATCCTAGAATTTTATGAATCACATAATGATTGGCGAGTGGCATTTCTGTTTTTGGATGCTAAAAAGGCTTTCAATAATGTGAATTGGCAATTTATTATACAACAATTAAAATTAATGGAAGCCGCAGGGAATTTCTTAAACGTTATAACTGCAATATATTCTAAACAATACGCGCAGATTATAATAAACAGGGTGGCAACAGATAGATTTAACATACAGAAAGGCAGTAGACAGGGATGCCCTCTCTCGCCATTGCTGTTTATTTATACTCTAGAAATTCTTGTTAGAGCGGTAAGGTAAGAAGAACAGATTAGAGGACTCAAGATTAAGAAAGAAGAGTATAAACTTCAGGCTTATGCAGATGATCTAGCATTTATTCTGGAAGACCCAGAACACTCTGGACAGAAATTATTTGAAATTTTAGAAGATTATGGAGATTATGCAGGTTTAAAAATAAACAAAAATAAAACAAAGATTATTACTAAAAATATGACTGATATTCAAAAAAGATTCCTTGAGGTTAAATTAGGTATACAAGTAGTTTCTAAATTTAAATACTTAGGGATAATCATTTCTGCACGTTGTTCATCACTTAAAGAATATAATTATGTTAAATTAATGCAAAAAATTAAACTTGATCTAGAACAGTAGTTTTCAACCTTTTTAATGCCGTGACCCCCAACCGGTCGTAAGTCGAGGACTACCCAACCGGTCGTAAGTCAAGGACTACCCAACCAGTCGTAAGTCGAGGACTTTCCCTGCCCAGGAGCGCTGCACATGTGTGGTGCTGCCCCCTGCGCCGGCTGAGGCATAGCTGGCAAGCAGCAGAGACGGAGCAGGCCGACCACCGGCTGGGCCACCAGCTGGTATAATGTATAATGTTTTTGTTTTATTTTTTCCCAAGTCTGTAGCAATGCATTCCTAACTATGTGTCTTTGAAAATATCTGTGTATTTTATGTTTTTCGTCCCATAGGAATGCATGCCACCCTGCTGCAAATCATGTCCTTCTATTGTTAAGACTCTAGTATTTTTCAAATCCATCCAATCTTTTAGCCAAGTTAAGCTTGATGCTTGGTAGTATATTTCCCACTCTGGTAACGCCAATCCCCCTTTATCTTTCGTGTCTTGCAAGAGTTTTAATTTAATCCTGGGTTTTTTCCTTTGCCATATAAATTTAGTGATCAATTTATTTAATTCTTGAAAGAATGTATTCCCTAATTTTATTGGAATAACCTGGAACAGAAATAATATTTTTGGCAATACATTCATTTTGACCGTAGCGGTCCTCCCTAAAAATGAAATTTGCAAATTTTCCCAATTTTCTAAATCTTTTTTTATCTGGTGTAGTATTTTATCATAATTATCCTCCTTAATCGAGGAGCATTTCTCTGTAAGCCAGATCCCTAAGTATTTTATTTTCTTGGTTATACTTATCTTTGTTTTATCTTCCAATTCCCTTTCTTGTACCATTGTAAGATTTTTTGTTATTAATTTGGATTTATTCCTATTAATCTTAAGTCTGGCTACCTCACCAAATTCTTCTATTTTTTGAATCAATTTGAAGCCGGTTTCTAATGGATCTTCCAAAATAAATACCAAGTCATCAGCAAAGGCCTGGACCTTATATTCTTCCTTTTTAATTTTTAAACCCTTTATTTCTTGGTCCTCTCTGATTTTTGTAAGAAGTATTTCTAATGATAAAATAAATAGAAGAGGAGAAAGTGGGCATCCTTGTCTTACTCCTTTGGTTATATCATTTTTTTCTGTCATTTCCTCATTTATAATTACCCTAGCTGTTTGTTTAGTATATATTTTCTCACCCATCTTTCCAAATTTTGTCCCAAAATCCATATAGTACAATTGTGTTATAATAAAATTCCAATTCAAATTATCAAATGCCTTCTGGGCATCAAGAAAAACCAACGTAGCTTGTCTTTCAGGATGAACTTCGTAAAATTCTAAAGTATTCAGTATTATCCTCATGTTATTTTTTATTTGTCGTCCTGGTAAAAATCCATTTTGATCTGGGTGAATATAATTATTCAAAATTTTCTTTATCCTTTCTGCTATTATTGTTGTAAATGTCTTATAATCTGTATTCAGTAAAGAAATCGGTCTATAATTTTGAATTTGTTGTAGGTCTGAGTCTTCCTTAGGAATGAGGGTGATAGTTGCTTCAGTCCAAGTTGTTGGTATCTTCGCCTCTTCCAACACCTCATTGTACATCTCCAACATTATCCATTGTAGTGACTCTTGTGTATTTTTATAAAACTCGATCGGAATTCCATCTGGGCCTGGTGATTTGTTGTTTTGTTTTGTTTTTTCAATGCTATTTCTAATTCTATTGCAGTTATTGGTCTATTCAACATTTCCTTTTGTTCCTCAGTAATTTTACCCATTTTTGCTGCCTCAATATATTGTTTGACTTTATCATCTGATATATCTTCCTGATGGTATAGCTTTGAAAAGAAATTTTGTATTATTTTCTTTTTTCTTCCCATCTATATTGTACTGTTCCACTTTCATCTTGTAGTTGGTATATTGTTCTTTTGCCTTTTTCTTTTTTTAATTTATAAGCCAACCATCGACCTCTTTTATTCGCATTTTCAAAGTAATTTTGTTTTGCCATCCTGATTTTCTGTGCCATTTCTTTTTGTGTTGTCAGGTTAATCTTGTGTTTTATAATATTCCATTTTTCTTTTATCTTTTTATTTTGTGGGTCCTTCTGTAGATCACCTTCTATTTTTTTTTAATTCTTCTTGTAATTTCCCTTGTTGAAGTCTCCTATCTTTATTTTTCTTTGAGTTGTATGCAATTGTCAATCCCCGTATGTAAGCTTTTGTAGTATCCCACAAATTTTGTGTTGATGTCTCTTCCTTTTTATTTACCTGAAAAAATAATGTCAACTCCTTTTCTAGCATCTGTATATATTGTTTATCTTTACATAGTCTTTGATTCATTGACCATCTTTTTCTCTGTTTCTGGCCTTTCCATTTTATTATTATTGGGTTATGATCCACCCAATCATTAAGCCCTATTTCAATTTCCTCTATCCCTTTCTGTACGTCTGTTGTTGCCCAGGACATATCGATCCTAGACCAAGACTGACCCATGCATCCTTTTGATTATTCTCCTACAATTGCTAAATCTATGTCTCTTAATTTAAAAGATTATTTGAAATTCTTATAGAATCTATCTTCTCCCCCTCTCCCCACATCTTTGGTTATCTTGATTTTTTTTTATTTAGGAAATTTATTTGCTGCCCATATCGTATCCAATGACTCGGGTGGCTTACAGCATAAAACATCGAATCAGAAAAGACATTAAAATCAACAATCATGGCAAACAGCAGATAAAGTCATTGACAATTACAAACCATCAAAATCAGATGGGAAAGGTGGGAGCTGGACACACAGGGTGTGGAGAGGTGGGATTAGGTTTTATTAGATTTTGGTTTAATTAACCACTCCAGAATGAAGCTTCCCCATTGCAGTGGTGGAATTAAGTCAGTTTGCACTACTTCAGCAGAACTGGTAGCTAATTTTTTGTTGCCCAGGCCCAGAATGGACTTCCAGAAGCAGCATCCACACAGACAACTGGTTGTTCACATATTTGAATCCCACCACTGCCCCATTGGATCCCCAAGCCATCTGGCAGAGCCAGGTCTTGAGGCTTTTTTCAAAACATCAGGAGGCTGAGAGCCAATCTCATCTCAGGAAGTAAGATGTTCCAAAGGGCGGGACCCAATATTTATTTTTATGAACCCAGAACTTGCATTTTACATGATGTATGGTACATCCCATCCAGACTGCTACAAAATTCATAGCCCTGAATTGATTGATCAATTGATCCATCAATCAGGCAGCTGGACACACAAACAGCATTACCCCTGGTGCATTTAATACAACGACAGTGGTTGTGTGGTGGTTACCATCATCAATTACATCACTGTCCTCCATGTTACTATTTTCTCTGTACCACCAGGTCACAGAGTAGACTTGGCAAGCTTTTTTATTTTTCTGCTGTATAGAGAAGTAAACTAATTCCACATATAATCCACTGAGAATGAATTTGAAAATTCTTAACAAAGTTAAGCAGGGCAGACTTGTTTAATGGTTATTTGGGAAATCTCAGGGCTGATGAACCAGTTCCCCATTGTTGCCAAGAAAATTATATCAAAATGTCTATGTTAACTTGAAGGACACTTGGTCCTCCATCCTATTTGATCTTGCCATCCAAGATATAAATGTAATCAGACAATGCTGAGGCTTATTGTTTACACTGCAGATGGTTGTGGAAATATTATTTATTTGCATTTAACTACATTTTCATTGAATTGTAAATAAAATAATGCAAACTGGACATCCAATGATATCAATTTTTTATTATTGCAGGTGATTATATAGTCATGACTATATACTTTGAGTTAAGTAGAAGAATGGGATACTTCACTATTCAAACATACATTCCCTGTATATTAACTGTTGTCCTATCCTGGGTATCATTTTGGATTAAAAAAGATGCCACACCAGCAAGAACAGCCCTAGGTAAGATAACAGGGGATAATATTTTTTATTCATTCCTCAGCCTGCTGAGGATTGTTTGTTATATATTTCCAATGAATAATTATTTTATTTCACTTGATAGGTAATGATACTAACAAATGTTTATATTCTGCAAGAAGTCTCCTATTCATGGTTCTCAGCCCCTTGTTGGAGAAGAATTTGAAATAATAATTTTCATTTTTCTGGTGTTCTATTATTAATAACGCAGTTTTTTATCTTCTTAGCTTCCCTTCCACTGTTGTTGATCATTTTACAATGTACAAAGTGATGTGTGCTAAACTCCTCCTTAGCTCTGTCTCCCCAAATATGGCATGAAATGTCTAAAGAGATTCTTAGTCATCCATGTCATGGTTGTCCTAAAGGTGCTTTTTCAAAAAGCAGCTGGATTTTCTTTGTTTTTGCTTGAAGACATGGCATTGGCATGAAATATTCATCAGAACATTACTTCAGATTAGATGCTGAACAGAAGATTATGGGGGGAAAAGAACAATGTTTTAAGTATAGATTATTTGTACAATCATAATATTAGGTTAAATATATAGGTTCTTACAAAGGGTGTGAACACCATTGTTCATCAATAATTTAGCTAGACAACCATTGAGCTTCTTCTGCTTCTTTCCTTGTTTTTAAGAATCCTAACCTAATCCTGATCTTAATCCTTTTCTCTAACAGTCAGTATTTCATGCTCATTAAATAGTGTTTTCCCCAACTCTTGCAGGACCTTAACCCTTTAAAAGTTTTGGTACTTCTAAAACAAATTTCGCTTCTCCAAGCTCATGGGAAACTTCCTACTATGATTCTAGTTCCTGGCATACCTCACTTATAATATGTTAAATTTAAAACAAAAGCTCCCTGTTCCTATTGATCATGATTTTGTGAACTAATAGAGAATAATTTGCAGTTTTCCATTTTCTTTCTGTTATGAGATTACAGTTCAATCAGAGATCAGCTTATCAAACACCGTCTTTTACACAAGGATCTGTTAATTCTCAATAATAACTTCTCTGGATATATCTAGACAGAAAGGGACTTTCAGCAATACTTATATATTGTCTTTTTCATCAAGTAGAGACTATTTTTCAATGTAGGAAAATGTGGTATACTGGGGCATGCAATGAGAATATCTGTGACCCTTCTTCCAAGCCCTAAATAATTTGATTCTTGTTGTGACTCTTCTGAGTAGCAATATTCTTAAGCAACTTGTTTCTTGACAGCTGTGGACAAATTCATCTTCATCTGCTTTGAGTTTCCATGTTTGCCATCAAATGGTTTGATCAACAGGGCATGGACTGTATAGGATACAGAAGTTTTGAAATTTATTAGGAGCTAAACAAATCTGCATCATTACTTTCCATGCACTGCATGACAGGATGGTGATAGCTGGTGTTCCAAATATTTACTTCCTGCTAGCTAATGCTCTTTTTCTGTAATTCTACTACTTATAGCTTTTTTCCACTGAAGCAAAGCTTCTTACCCACTAATATGTGGGTAAGACCCAATGTGTTATCAACATATACAGGGCTTTTTTTCTCATAGAACACCCAGAATAGAGTTCCGGCACCTTTTTTGGATGGAACCGTGTAGGATAGGCAAGGCGGGTTGTATGACGTGTGAGTTCCGGCATCTTTTTTTTTTTTTTTTTTTTTTAGAAAAAAAGCACTGATCATATGTAAACTTCCCTTCACAATCTCACAATCTTCTAAGAGAAGACAAAGCATTTTCTAAAAGAAAAGTGAAGAAAGGATATGTGTACTACAAATGTGCACATATTGTCTCACAGCAGAATAGTGACTTAAAACTATCTTTTTCCTGCATTTCCTATTCAGTAATACTCTTCAAAGCTCTCACCTACTGTTTCAAACCTTAAAGGCTGCAACTAAATTGGAGGTCATTGACTTATTTCAAAAAACAACAAACCTTTTTTGAGATTCAGAGTTCTCTGTATGAACTAAACATGGCCCTCCAGTGGTTGACTCAGTGAAGTGGAAAAGTCTTCACAATATGCCACTATGGAAAAGCAGTTTCCTCCTTATGATATATTTCATGTATAAGCCTACAAGCATAAGATATAAATTTCTGTGAAAGCAACATTCTGAAGAGGTGAGAAAAATCTTCTTATATGAAATTTCTTACAACCCTCTGCCCAGTTTCATGCAAACCTTTGTGTTATTTTCAAATTCTATCTATTTCCTACCTTGTTGGTTTTGGACCCACCAACCATTAACTGATACAGGGTTGCCAGTGGCACTTGGACTGCTAAAAGAAAATAGATCTCATAATGAAAATCTTTCACATCTGGGCTCTCAGAGATGTAACCTACAGGTGTGAATATATGAGAAACTGAAATTAGAACTTTCAAATATTGTACCCTACTACTAAATGCAATGATTTTAATCAACTATGAGTCACCAAATGATAAGAAATCACCATGAACCAGTTTTAAATGATCAGTAATCATGAGGGAAATCCAGAGGCTGGCTTGAGGGGTTCTCTGGAACTTGTCCAAGAAGCCAGTATTAATGACAAAGGGCTGAAATAAGTGGAATTCGGAGTCTGTATTCATAACTGGCCCTGGAATGGAGATACTGCTTTAGCTAAGTAAGAGCAACTAGAACCACAAGGTGATGGCACGGGAAACTTTGCATACATTTTGTTTTCCTCTGCCCTTTGAGATAACTAGGAATCCTAACTGTATACTTTGTCTCTGTACATTGTACAGCATTGTGATTACCAATATTTTGTGATCTGAGCAACTCAAAACTAATTCAAGAAGCATTCACATATTGGCCATTTTTTCAGTAGAAGTATTTTAATGTCACAGACTTGCCTACATGAATGCTCTGTTGGACGTCTAAAAAATAACTTGCATTCATTTTGGGGGATCAAATATTTAGGCCCAAGCCTTTATAAATTGTTCAAAAGGCTAGGGGAGGGAGTTGTCAATAATTAATAGGTTCAAACTTAACAATTAATATTTGATATCCTTTGAAGTTTCAGTGAGAGAGGTTTCACAAGTGTGAGCCAAAAAACAATTCCTCTCTGGAAATGATTTTATGCTTTAGTAGAATTTGCATAAAGCACAGAGTTAAAATTTGTTCATGTCTTTGACTATTATTCTGATATGCCTGAAACAAACATTTTAAACCATTTCTATTGGTGGCATATAAAAATCTGAGATATCTAAATCCCTTCCCTCTTTAAATTAGGCAAAATGCTACAGAGAAGGAAAAATTAGACACAGCTCTAAATAGCTTTCATTTATCAAAAGTGTGGTATGACAGCAAACTTCTGTTTTTATTACAAGCTATTTCAATCCAAAATTAAAAGAAATTTAAATATTGACGAAAAGTCCTGGTTCTAACTTTTCTAGTAGCAATCTATTATATCTCTCAATATATCCTATATTACCAGTTTGACTCTGAGGAGGCATAGGCTGAAGTTTAAACTGCCTGCCATCGTATTCTCATCTCAGTAATTGAATGCTTTCTGCCTTGTGGGAAACTTACAAGGTTCAAAGCATGCAGTAATGGAGGTATTGAATAAGAGAGCAAAATTTTACAAATTTTATGATGTTTTTTTATTGAATTAAAGATTAAGAAGTAAAGGGGAGAAATATAAAATTGGTTTATTTGATAAAGGTTAAATTAGGAGATTTTGTGCAATGTTCTAAAAACTCATTATGGACTATTTACAGACAACAGGACTGAGAAATTGATGTTTTATGGATTTGTTATAGATAAGGGGTGAGGTATGAGACAAATAGATATCTGTTTGTTACCTTACAGGAGGTAAAATTTGCTGAATTCATTTATACTTGTGGCAAAAGTTGGAAGTCACTTCTTTATATATTTCTTTTCTTTTTCTCTGTTATAGTCTTTTTCTTTTTTCTTCTACTTGTTCTTTTGGCTGTTCTCTTCTCTTAGTTTAGATGTATTAGTTTTTACTAGGAGGAGGAGTGAACGTCTCGGCGGCATGACGTATTCCTTGGGGGCTCCCTAAGAATCGTCACTTTCCAGCTGTTTGGGGAGGTCTGCCTAGTCCTAGACAGATCAGAGCTGTCCTGTAGGGACAGTGAAGAAGGGAAGGATAGTTTGGCAGCACAGGAGGGATCGCAATCTCCTGGAGAGCCGAACAGAAGCTTCCCAGACCAGCAGCTGTCAGACAGCTATTGCGAGCTGTCACAAGCCAGGCGTTTGCTTCCAAGAATCAGAAAGAAAATTGGAGAATCTCCTGGGTGAGCTGATCAAGAGATTGTTAAAAGGAGGAAATTTTTCTCTCTTAAATGCTGGAAATGCTGAGGGGTGGAATAAGAAGAATTTGAAGCCATGGAGAAAAGGGGGGGGGAGCGGACCCTTAAGATGCTCCTGTTCCTCCTCTGGAATTTCAGCGGTGAAAAAAGCGGAAGGCAATAAATCAATGTAAAGACTGTGAAATTTAAAAAGCCTACTGAAAATAATTGGACTAATAGAACTTATTTGAGAGTAAATAATTGTAAAAGTAAATTGTTTGCTTTTTCCTTTAAGTGGGTTGCTTCTTTTTCTTCAGCTTCCTTCTTTTAAAGCAGAAGACTAAGTGACCTTGAACAACATCTGCTGGGCTCACTGATAAGAAGTGAGACATTAATTGAATTTAACCCAGAAACTGTTGCTTCTTTTGGAGAATGGTGGATTGCCTTATGGAGGTTTTATTTTCGATCTCCTTCTTTTTTTCGGATTAAGGCACGAAGAGCCTGAAATAAAGAATTGTAAATTGTACTTTTTCCTGCCCTTAGACTTTTGAGGTGGGATTTTTCTCCTATTTTTGTTTCTTTCCTCCTCTTCTTGGAGGATATTGGGATTATAATAGCACACTGACATTTGGATTATAAATCATTGGATAAGATGAAGAAGATCACAACACACCTAACAATAGCCCCCTCAACACTACAGAGTCCGGTGGTGCAGAAAACACTGGACTCTACAATACAACAAGATAAATTTAAT